ACCAATGCACTTCGCACAAAAAGCATAAAAAACACGCTCACTCGTCCAAAAAGTTCTTTTGTATCTCCAATAGTTGCGAGCCAGTGCGAAAGGGATGAAAATTCGCTGCATGATTTCACCCCGCAAACTTGCGGTCTTGATGAAAAAATGTATATACAGAGTGTCTGACGCAAGACACGTAAGATTACGTGTGTAGATAGATCAAATTGAACAAAAAATTTCTCTACCATTTTCCAAATAACCACGTAAAAGTTTGAGTTATTAATTAAAGAAGATTGGCAAATAATGATACGCAATATGACAAATAAACTATAATACATATACGACATAATGTAGTAAAATGCTTGTATATTAGATCAAAAACTGAACAAAAAAGTCCTCTACCATTTTGCAAATAATCACGTAGATATTCAGTTATTAATTAAAGAAGATTAGATTACTGCACACAACTATACCCCAATCTTTTTTAATTAATAACTAAACAACTATATGGTTATTTGCAAAATGGTAGAGGACTTTTTTGTTCAATTTAGCCTAATATGCAAGCATACAGCATACAGCAGAAGTCGCAATCACGGCTCATCTACTGTATAGCGTGTGATGATTCACAAAACGTTCTTTGATTAATAATTCAAAATGTAGTTGTTTGAAAAATGATAAAAGAATGTTTTGTTTAGTTTGATTATTCTTAATCTACCTTAATCTTCTTAATCTACACGTAGTCTTGTGTGTCTTGGGTGTCAGACATCCTGTGTATGTTTTTTAATATAATTATTGTACACAAATATATCAGATTTTGCCAAAATTGGAGACGAATATTTCACGGATATTCCATCTGTAGGGGAAAAGAGATGTGAAACACCGTTTGCCAAAGTCTGCCGCATCATGTACGGCAAAAGAGCGCTCTTTTATCTGAGAATCAGGCTTCATCGGTGTTTCGGGCTTTTTCTGTACGCTGCATTTTACGCAGCCTGATATTACCTGATTCACAGGATTTTCATACTCTTCTTCGTCACACGACTACGTCGCACTTAATCCGGCCCTCTCGTTTTCTGGACGGCGCATTAAATGATTACTTTCATTAATTAACGTGACGTGGGAGCAACTCCGGTGCGGCGTAAGTTCGTGCTCGTCGAGCATAGCGGCCGATATTAAAGAGACGTCGTTTTTACGAGAATCTCGCGTACGTCAATGTGTCAAAGCGAGGCTCGTTAGACCTCATTGAGCTAGGTCGCGCGATTATCTCGGCGACAAATTACTAATAAGACAAACAAGAAGCCGCTTTTCCGCGCAGCGTCCGACATTGCGCATTTCGCAGAGAAGAGAACTCATCAGCGTGATCGGATTTGGGGACGTTTATCAAGCTATATCCTGGGCATTTCGTCACTTGGCGCGCTCCAAGAAAAGTTTGGCAACGCTCGGCTGGATTTCGCTTTGCACGAATATGGAGGCAAATATAAAGATGAATATTTACAGATGAGAGAGTAGAGGTAATGTCGAAGACAATATTATCCCTACACAAAGAGATAATGTACACTCGCTCGCAGAAAAGTTGTCAGATCTTTATTTGTGAGGAAAGAGGGAGGGCGACCTCCAAATCCCCTTCCTTCCTTCTTTCGTCCTTCTCTTCTTACTACTATTTCTAATGTCTACGCAGAGTATAATATAAAGATAGAGTAATTAATAAATGTCATTTTATTCTAGATGTCAGTGAGCCGGGTTTTCCATTCGGTTTTTCCATTCGGTGTTAATTATTATAGAAGTAAACAAATGAGGCGGTTTAGCAGATATTATATGGTATATATTTTATTATGTGAATATATATATATATATATATATATATATATATGTGTGTATGTGTGTGTGTGTGTAGCATTAAGTTTCACGGGAACCATATTTAGGAAATATGTACAAAAGTCTGAGAGCGCGTATACGTTTCACACTTGGTAGGTTATCGAATCCAATGCTTTTCCAATATTTTGCATGTAGCTTAAAAAATTTTTCTCACTAACCTTTGTATTGAATTCTTTTTGTCAACAATTTTTTTTAATGCGCAATGTGTGCCTGCTAAAATCCTTCCCAAAGATTACTCAGATTCATCACCTTGGCAACATGTATGCGGGTCAAGGTTATCATGCAAGGCTATTATATGCGCTGCCTTAATACGCGTAAGCGTCGCGAAAAATGAAAAAAAAACCTTAATGGATTGAAAATGTAGGCAGGAAGAAAGAAAATGTAACAAAATGTTTTCAAACTAACTATGTTTTCTCGAAAAGGGAGTAGTATTATCCATTTTGCAGAATATATAATTTCAGTCATTTTCTTTTAAATTAATTCTTCTGGGAAATCCAAGGACTGGCACGTTATATGTCAAAGAATTCTACATGTCGATTATCTCTCTCTCTCTCTCTCCCTTTTAAAATCATTTAGGTCACGCCTCGATAGCGAAGCTAGGGCACTCATGATGACGAGGTATAGACTGCAAGGCACAAACGACCCTTCAGTTCGAACATTCGTCGATCCGCTCGACACGCGTGTACGAGGCAGCACGTAAAATAAATAAAAAAAAAAAGCGATGTCAAAATACTGAAATCGGTTTTACAGCAAATTCGATGGCGTTTGAGATTTAACGGATATATCGAGAACACGCTCTCGACCATAATTGTGTGCTCCGCATTGAAATTGGATATCGCGACGAGACTTGATGCCACGGACGCTTGAAACGCACGTCCGTACTTCGGCACTAGCCTGCAACGAACGAAAGATCATTATGTTTGGTGACCCTGGCTCAAGAGCAAATTGTAAACTGTCTTTAGTTACCTTAGCCGCTCGTTGAATTTAACTGCGCGATTTTGACCTTTTACGTTATTATAGCCGCCACATATTAATTACATCGATATTCATTCATATTTCGATCATATTTCTCGTTGATTGTGCTAATTCGATTTTGTCTAAGGTATTTTTGATGTACATTTATTTTGCATTAATGAGTCCTTCCCAAGGAGAAATCGATTTTTCATTCGGTTAACGAGCTGAAGAATCGAGAGAGCAGCTCGAGTGAATGATTTATCTTCCGTGTTTGCTTCATTCCGCTACTCTTACAACATTGTCATCAGGTTACCCTTTTTTAAATAACACTAACAATGACGGTATTATTGTTTTTTCATTAGTATAAGGATAATCTTTATCGCAAGCTCATTTTCCAGTAACGATGATGAATGTAACCGTTACTTTTATTACCTTTATTACTATTACTATTGTTACTTTTTACACGTGTGGGAGATATTTGTCATCGCGATCTTCGCGCGCGTGGGGAGGAGATAGAAATTTTCCATCATCATAATAGAAATGAAATAATAATTTGTAAAAAGAGATCCTCGAAAACTGATAAAAAATGGAACGGAAATGATAACGAGTTATCTTTCCAAACGAATAACAGTAACAAGCGGTAACGAATCACCTTTTTTTCACCGAGCAATGAGTGACGATAACGAGTTTTAAAAAGTAACTTCGAGAAGTTATTAAAGAAAGTTATTTCGAGCAATTTTTGTAATGTAATTCTTCGCAACTTCGGAACATCCTATCGTAAACAAAAAGCATTTGCGTCTTGAGTAGAAGGAAGTTTCGAATCTATGTTTACGTGACATTTCTCATCCCTGAGATGAGAAATGTCATCCCTGAGTGAAATGTTTCTGTAAAAGACCTCGATACCAATCTTGATTGTATGCAAATACAACGTGTTTCTGAATGACCCGGTTCAAATGGATCGTCGTATTGCGTATTCTATTTGTTGAAATTTGAAACACGAGCACGAACTAAAGCGCGAAGAGACGAGGTCGCGCCGCAGTCATTCATCGTGAGAGAGCGCGCGTATAATTATCCGGAAATTATGAAGAAAGCCGGGCGTCCAATAATTGAGAGACAGAGAGAGAGAGAGAGAAAAAGAGAAATGGCGGGAGGAAAAAGGAGAGACAAAGAGAGCGTAAAAAATCGAAGGAATTCTTATTCGCGTTTCATATCGAAGAAATACGAGGCGGAGAGTTCGCGTTATTGAATTAAAGCGTCGCTATACCGATATAATTCGTTAGAGAAATGTACGACGGTATTTCGCGCAATGAGCGTTACTGCGAGAAGAAATAAATGAGAGAAGAATGCGTCTGCGATTTACGGCGTGAGCTCCAATTATGATGAGCGCGCTCGAAGATTTCCACGCACGTTTTTCCCTTTTTTCTCTTTTTTCTATAAATATCGATCCAATCCGCGCCGAACGAGCTATATACTCGGATATTCCGTGAGACGAGTGTTTATCTTTCGGCTCGGCTTCTAAGTTCATTGATCGTGGCGATGAGGATTTTGAAGCCGAGATGGAAATAATATTACGTGCGCGAAAAGATAGACGGGGAGGGAGAAAGGGGATGATGAGAGAGGTGAGAGACAGCGAGAGAGGAGGGAGAGCAAAAGAAATAAAGAGAGAAAGAGAGAGAGAGAGAGTGAGAAAGAGCCTCTGGAATAACCTATTTATATATACATTCATACGTGATATAACTGAATCATTCCGTCGAACGTGCCGCAATGTGCTCGATTTGAGGATGAGGTTTTGAAGAATATACGACATACGTCGACACAGAGTCGACCGAGAGGATCCGCGGGCTGGTACCGATGTGACAACAGCTACGTCGAGGTCGTGGCGCTCACTGCTACGTGCCAGGCTTCTTAATTAGCCGCCTTTATCGTTAATCAGCCGACACGGTGGAACAAGTATACGTGGTAGCGTGCTAGAGGGATACAGGTCGAAACAGAAAGAAAGAGATAGACAGAATGAGAGGGGGGGGGAGGAGAAAGGGAAGGAGGGACAGAGGAGCAGAGAGGGAAGGTGAGAGAAGGGGCGGGAAGGGCACAGCGGAGAAGAGACAGAAGAGAAAAGCGGCACATACAGGGGTGAAGCGAGCGTCGGTGTATGCGGACGGACGCGGTGCAGTCGAATCAGCAGAATACCGCACCTGATCAATTAAGCTGCTAATCACGCCGCAATCACTGGCCACTATCGCCACTACCCATCGGTCGTCCTCCACTATCTCGCGTACCGAGAATCCGACCGCGCGTCCTCGTCCACCGGCATCGTCATCTCCCTCGCCTCGTTCTCTCCCCCGGGTGCCTCTCCTCTTCCTCTCGACTCGACCGTCTGCTCGGCTGGACGTGAGAGACCGATGTGGCACGCGTCGTCAGGTCAGGTGCAAAACGGACCGCCCGTCCTCCGTTGATCGGTCAGTCGTGAGATCGCGGCGAGCGCAAGCACCGCGCCAAGGAGCTTTAACGAGCTTGCGCGACCCTCGCACGACTAACCGAGGCCTGGTATCGGGGCTCGCCTGCCGCCCCTCGCCTCTGCCGTGAGAACGCTGAGAGGAGCGGCGCCACGAGCGCGCGGGCTAGAGAAACTACCCTCCCGTCGTGGATTCCCTTCTCCGTGGTGGTGGATAGAGAGGTACTGCGCCACACGCGCGCAGGCGGCTGTATCGGGGTGGCGCAGAGCGTGAAACTTGCAGACCCGTTCAATCGCGACCGCCTGAAAACCCGTTGGGAGGATTTTCGTGCGCTCTCTCGCCCCCGGAGCGCGGGGAAATAATGCCAACTGCGCGCGACCGCTCGGGCTTAGAGAAGCTTGATATTTCACGCGTGACATTTCTGTCCGCTTCTGACACTTCTGTCAATATAGCATTTTCTTGTTGCATCACATATCTAACGCATGCGAGAGAAAGAGAAAGAGAGAGAGGGGCAAGAGAGGAAGTGGAGGGAGGAAGACAGAGAGAGAGAGAGAGAGAGAGAGAGAAATCCTTTAGCACGTTGCACGTTACGCCTGTGCTCCTGTCAGACGCGCAAGTGTCATACGATAAATGTCAGACGTAAACGCAACTTAAAGAGTAATTTATAAGCACATTGTCAACATCACGGCTAATAAGGCGTGATTGCGTGGGGTGTACGCGGCATATCGTAAACACGTAGTGCACGTACTCCGCAGCCGTCACAACAATCTACGATAAATCCCTGCCAGCCAACTCGGGCGTATCGCTAGTTCTAGTCTAGCACTAAAGAGCAAAAGTTAGCTCACGATATATGAGCATATGCGTGTGACAATACACGGTGCTTTATTGCGTGCACGTCTGAACTCGTGATTAAACGCGTTATCCTTCTTCTTCGAGAGATGTCTTGATGTGATAATTTTCTCACGACATTGTTTGTTGTCTGATCGTTTATTTTGGAGATTACACACGCACGCACTCACACGCTCTTTCAGTGTACGTATCGTCTCTCAACGATCGTCTATTGCTCTCTCCCATGTCTGTCTCTGTTGCGAAACCAAGTTGATCTATTATTCAAGTACAAACTGGACCGTTATCGTGCAAGCCGTGCTTGCCCTTACTGCCCCGGCTTCCCTCGCGTCACATTCTTTCACCTCATGGCTCGTGTAAGTTCTTTTTCTCGCGTCTTTCTTTGTGGGGCAACCACCTGTAACTCCTTCGAGACCCCAGCGTTCCAAACTGCACGCACCCCCGTCGTCGCCTAACCGCGCTTAATTCAATCGCCACGTCATTCCACGCCCTTCGCGTCCGAACGAGTCACCTTGTCGTGCAGCAATTCGTCGCAGACCGATCTCTCTCTCTCTCTCTCTACCCATTTCATCGCCGACATATAATTACTCAGTAAATTGTTTAATTCAGATCATAAAATAGGAAGTATGGATTCGATGGAGAGACTCGGCAATTTATGTCACCGCGTTTTTACACTTGTCAAAATTGACATCTACGAATCGTTTGCTTCTAAGTCTAGATGCAACTATTTTTACGTTCCCAATGAAGTGTTCTTTTAGCGAATTACGTAAGCATCATCTCAATGCACTATTGATTTCTGCGTCAGTCGATAAATAGATATGGAGAACATCTCGCTGCATATCTCAGTCTGACAAGGCAGAAAAACACTGCAAGAAATCGAAGAAAAATTTATGATACTTATTTCTGTAGAAACATAAACCTTTCTATTTTCTCTTAACATTGAAATAACGTAAAATGTATGACGTATGAAAGTATCAGCGACTGGACGAGTTAACTGATCGACGAGAAATAGATAGTCTGTATTGCTCGTCGTCCGTAAAATAGAAATTGACATATCGACCTCTGGAAAGACAGGAAGCGTGTGAATCTGACAGGAAATAGAAACACCCTAATACAGCGACGATAAAATCGATAGTAACTGCGTGAATTTATAAACAAGACTCACAAAGATCGGACATCTGGTAGAATTTGCTCGACGGGTAACGAATCGACGCATATACTGACAAGGAACCCCATATAGATGTTTAGCTTTGATTTAGATGAGCTTGAAATATATTCATACCAAACGAAGTAATTCAGGCCAAACGAAGTAATTCAGACGAAACGAAGTAATTCAGACCAAACGAAGTAATTCAGACCAAACGAAGTAATTCAGACCAAACAAAGAGACACGTATTTTTTTATAGGTGCCCAGACGAACTTTTAGGGGGAAAAACACTCCTTTGAAAAAAATCAATTTTTTTCTTTAGGAGCATGTATCGTCAAAAGTACAAGAGATAGAAAAAATTTTTCTAAACAAAAATTTAATGATTTTAAGAGTACGATTTTTTTCAAAAGGAATGTTTTGCCCTCTAAAAGGTCGCCTGGGCACGTATAAAAAAATACGTGTCTCTTCTTTTTGTCTGAATTACATATATTTCAAGCTCATCCAAATCGGAGTTAAACACCTATGTGGGGTTCTTTGTGAGACAAAAAATAGTTAGATCGACAAAATCATCGATTACCCACCTTCGAAGAACTATTGTACTTATTAAACAAATAATACACGTTAGTATAACAATAAGTTGCGTTCATGCAGTTACTGATCAAATTGCAATTATAGAATCAATTGATATATTGACACACAAGGTGTCTCAGACTCTCCTCCGCAATTTGTGGAAACGGATTGAAGTAAACATAAAAGTTCTATATGTATA